CTTGGTTTAAAAGTTCTAGTTGGTTTAAGGGGGAAGCTCACATAATCCGCATTAATTCTAATCTTCAATATCTCTTTTTATATTTAAGATTAGTTGGATTTTCTTAAATTAAATGTAATTTTTGAAAAAGTATTTAAAACTATATTAATAAAAATAACTTACCCCGACTATCATCAACATATTGGAAATAAATCCTAGAATCTTCTTCAAATTTCCAGCACCTAGGATTTCTCCAACTGTCATGCTTTTGTTATTTTCCTTTTGTATACTGTATAATCAATTGTCCAATGGAAACTATTCTATTTGAAGATGTTAATGTTACTTTTGTGGTGTATATTGCATACAGATACAGTTAGTAGCACTTAGGGAATAAGCTTTCAGATCAGTCCATTGAATCACTGTGTACCCTTTTTGAAATATTAGACTCACCCAAACTTTACACTATCCAATGAAAGAAGGGATTTAAGTTACACCCATTCAAATTTTTGGCGGAAACAGGTTTAACAGACAATATTAGAAATTATTAACATTTTGAAGAAAGAGATCTGAATTAAACAGTTAAACACTGGATTATTGGAACATGCTTATGTACAGTATGGCAGATACATCAACAGGGAATTGTGAATTTGGTAAGTCAATTTATCATAATTTTAAGTCCAGAGTAGGATAGAAAGATGTAAAAATAATTTAGAAGAGGGTTAAGCTTGAGAGGAGAATTAAAGGTTTTGTGTAAAATTGGGGTGACTGGATAACGAGGTTGCCAGGTGACTTGGTAACATTCTTAGCAGGGCTAGGATTTGATTTTATGCCTTCCAGGTATTCTGATATTGAAAAAATAGTCGATTATTCAAAAAGTGCTTGGTCTCTGGTAGGTTTTTGATAAAAAGATAATGTGTAAATATAGAACAGTATAGTTTACACTTAGGAGGCTGGGGCTATCATGTCAATTTGCTACTATATAAGGGGAAAATGTCCAACTTTGAAAGTTGGTAACCCTGCTAGACACATTAGGTACCCTGAGTCACCGGCTACCCAGTCATCTGTTTTTTAGGCAGACCCTAAATAATATACATTTCTTCATAAATAACTAATGTGACAGCCAAGGAGGATTTTCTCCCAGTGACGCCAATCGATATTCTGTTTCATATATGGGTATTATCACATAGCCATGTTATGAATACAAAATTCAATCAAGAATATCAGTCATTCTCCTGGCAGCCGTAGAAATATACAGGCAGGATCTGAAACTATCGCATCGATTAGAGATTAAAGAATATTGAGTTGGAACCCTGGCTTCCAATCCTCCTTGGGTGACAGCTTAATATGAGAATTCAAAATATTATAATGACTCTTATGGTTTTTTAATCTTGTATTAGACAAAAACGTCAAGTCTGTGAGGTCAAATAATATGTTAGCACTGTTTATTTTGCAGAACCGCTAATACTTGAAAAGAGAAGGCTTTAGATGTAGATCTTATGAAGACAACACTCCTGGATGCATTTACTTGTGGTAGAAAACACAATGCAAAACTAACTTGGAAAATATGAGATGGCAACTAAGGTACCAACATTTGAAACAGGGCCGATATCATTTGATAATCGACTTGCCGAGCCATACAAAGTGACAAAAGTCAGTGAACATAACAAAGAGAGTTTGCATATATTGGAAGGAATCTATGTTTGCACTGCAAGTATGTAACACCATCATCAAAATGTATATTTAATTTTTAAAAAAATTTTGTTTGTTTTAAATTCTACTTAATTAATTAACTTATTCTTACTTGACATTGATAGACTGATAATTAATATTTCAGAAAATCCGGTCAAACTCTCATGGCTATATGAGAAGGACATACACATGAGTCAAAAAAGAAAGTGATTAATCCTAACAGCATTATTGAACGAACAAAGTCGAGGTCTGCAGAAAAAGGTATGAGCATTACATTGAATCAAAACACAATAATGGTCAAAAAGGTATATTCCACTCAAATTATTATATTCCATAACACTCCATATTAAATTTGAAGTGTGATATTTTCCCGCTTATTTTGTTATTTTTCTTTATTATTAGGAGTGTCTGTCTGCTTTTGTCTGTCCATCCGTCAAGTTGAGTCTTCATGATAACATAGATAAAACTGTTTAATCTATACTATTTCAGGTTGTAACAAGCAAATGTCCATTAAATCAGGGGGAAACCAGAGACCCCTCCAAATAAGACAGAAGTTTGAGGTGGAATACATAGTAGGATATAGAATGAGTACTGGTGAAGCAGTGAAGATTGGTTTGGTTGTGGAAATTGGACATTAAAATTTACTTTTAACGGGATATCAATTGAACACGGCAAACTTTATATTCAATGGCATCTACTGTACCATGACTATTGACAGGGAACTTAAAATTGAAGTTAAGCATTCGCTTTAACACAGTCCAATTAATTGAATCCCACAACAAATCAGAAATAAAATCAACTTACAACAAAATTTAAAAAAAACATTGACACCCCCCCCCCCCCGCCACAATTCGAGACACACAGATAAATACTATTAATCTAGTATTTTGACAGCTACAAATTGTCAAAGATCTATCAAATGAAGTGAAAGTGACATGGTTCACTTTTCCCTTGGGTTGTACATTTTATATTATACCTTTTATATTTACTATATAGTTACTATACTAGTATCATAATAGTTATTAACAAAATAATTTGATTGTAAATAGTTCATCAATTTTAAATAAGCTTCAATCATGTGATGCAGAATGTATGTTAACATCTCTAAGTTAAAAGGATCAAATAAATCAAATGAAATGGAATGGAATAACTTGACAACTTTTTCTGTATGTACTGAGTGTACTCAAAAATATGTGCTGAAATATATTATTAAAGTAGTCAGACATACAATTTGATGAACTTAAGGTTGAACATATACATTTTGTAATGATGTACAGTAGATTAAACCATGAGAACTGTCACTGAGAACCATATATAAAAAGAAATTGTTATTTTCTAACTACTTTGATGTGAATTAGAGTATATTATGTCCATTTCTGTCAGAAAAGTATGGATAATGTGGTCATATGCAACATTGCATAACTTAATTAGGGTTCACCTCACTATGATCAGTCCATGTCTGAATTCAGACAGTTGAATCAGTTTTCTAGCATGGAAAAGCCTATGTCTGAATTCAGACACAGTCTCATTATAGTGAGATGAATTTGTTTATGTGTCTGAATTCAGACAAGATTTCAATCTGAGAAAATTGATACTGATTTCCACTGTCTGAATTCAGACACAACACATAAGATAAACAAATTCATCTTACTATTATCAAATTGTGTCTGAATTCAGACAGTTGAAATCAGCTTCTGTTTTCTAATATGGAAAAGCCTGTGTCTGAATTCAGACACAAGAGATAAACAAATTCAGTATTATCAAGTTGTGTCTGAATTCATACAGTGAAAATTTAGGTTACTCATAGATTAGAATGCCGCTGCCTGAATTCAGACACAGAATATTCAAGTATAAGATACACTATATGTTTAGCTAAGGAATGTTTCTGTCTGAATTCAGACAACTTGTTTCCCTCTGAAATACATGTGCCTGAATTAATGTAAGAAGATGCAATGAATAAATATGTCATGAGTAAAAACACCTATAAAACAGTTTTGTTTAATACTTTTGTCAAACTGGAAAAATGTCAAACTTCACTGGAACCTGTTATACCATGATCATTTTATTTAATATTTAACAAATAAAATTGTGTTAAACTTAGTATTTTTTTTAAATCATCACTAAATATGAAAAAGTTGTAAATAAAGTAGATCCTTGTGTGACTCCTTTAATTATTTACTTTGCCAAAAACTAACATAATGGTAATTGAAACATTTAGAAAACATTAAATAAGTAAACTAGGAATATTATCATTAGCAACAGTGACTTTTGAATTAAAATGGCATTTTAAGGTCAGCATGCAATACATAATTCTTCACCATTATTGTTTTTAATAAAAATGACCACACCCAAATAGACTATCATACATATCAATATCAAATATGCCTCCTATTTCATATACTCACTGCTATTATTTGAAAAACATAATTTTTTTCAAACTCATATTTTTGACGGTTGCACCTTGGGGCAAGCCTTTTAGCCCTTTCGTGTCACCTTTTTAACTGCAGACAAGTGAAAATGAAAAGTCAATGAACCAATCTATAATGACTATGGGCCACTTCTTAGTAATCTACCTCAACATCGGTTTAGACTAACTAAGCCACTTTGGAAGCGATTTGGCGCATACTAGTAAGGTTCTTGTATCCATGTGCCTTAATATTTTGTACATGTATAAATGTGTCACTCTCAGACAGTAAAAGCTCTGTACATGTACCTGTTATAATCCACACCTATTCTAATATATAGTAAAACCTGTATATTTAATTTTTGCTGAGAAAAATGTTCAGTTTTGGTAAGTGTTCATTACAGAGAGGGTAATTTATACAGAAGTCAGCAGAGTATGTGAGGAGGTAGGGTGTCAATTAGAGACAGGTGTTCACTAAGGTGTTTTACTGTATTTGAATTATAGCTGATGGAAGTAATTTATATGCTAGTGCGTTCTGTATTTTGTAAAACTATCTAGCTATTCATGACTAGCCAAGAGCATGATAGTTGACTTAAACATCTTCTTAAACCAAGCTTTGTAAGCAGCATGTATGTGTGGATCAGTATATAGAGAGGGGGATCTATCCAAATTCAGAATAAGGGTTTTCAAAGCATAAGTACCATGTATTTTATGTCAGAAATCACCATCCTATATTTGATGCTTTTTATTATGTTTTTAATCACTTTTATTCATAGGTTTTGGGGCGATATAAAGATGGCAGCACCAACAGAATCCAGTATTATCATTTTCTGAAACATAGATAAACACAGATCGATTACCATGCCATCTTTATTTAAAAATGAATTCTATCGCCCTTAGCCTATGCTTTTATTAATTCTTTTTTCAGGAATCACAGCAGTTCTGACTGGATGCAATGCAATTCAAGAGTTAGACCTGAGTGGCAATCTTCAGTTGGACAACTCAATATTTGACAAACTGCCATATTCTAGTCACAAAGTTACAATAACAGCTGGTGGTAAGTATTGCAGGAATTCCAAAAATATTAATTGGACATTCTTGGTTTACTCTCTAATAGTGTCTCATAACCCGATAACCTAATAGTGGCTTATGATTTTTATGTCGCCACCATAAGTGGTGACATACTGTTATAGTCTTCAACTTTTTTGTGGATGGTGTTTGGTATTTGACATCTGTAACAAATTCTTTCAATTGGCAGTCAGTGTCTGTAATTACTATTTCAAATAACTTACAGTACAGTGACTTCAAATTTTTACTGATAACATTTATAAACGTGTTATAAGTTCCAACACATTTCTGCCATAACTGTTACCATGGCAACATATTGAAGGTCAAAAAAGGTATTTTTCAGCTTGCTTCATGGTGACCAATTTTCTTCTCAAAAGTTCAAATCTGACTTTAGATTTGAGATACAACCAATTGTTACACTTTTGTAACCATTTGTAGGTGGTGAGATTTTGTCATGTTAATGCCTTGTTACATTTTACTTGTTTCTATTAATATATTATATGTAATGAATCAGTGACACTGAAATGATCTCTTGTTTGTTGATATTGCAAGTAAATTAAATCAAGTCTGTATCAGCACATTTATTTTACTTTGTGTACATTATATTTCAGGTACATCAATAGAAAAAGAGACAGTCCCCAATGGCAATATAACAATGACCATGCAGGATCTTTCTGTGCTTCATCTAAGACCTGATAGAGACATTGCTCTTATTATGGGTAAGTTAGAACAGTATAAGAATCATATTCCATATGAAACGAAATTCTAAGATTTTACACAGAATTTGAACATGAATCAAACCTCAGGACCCCTGTCCATTTAAGGTGAGAGTATATTTGAGGTAGCGTCTATTTAAAGTGAGAATCTATTTCAAATGTTTTCTTGAAGTGTGTAGAGTGGGGGGGGGGGATCACAGAACTTGAAGCAATATTAAAAAATGTTACCAAGTCTTACAAATTATTACAGAGTATGTTTTCATTGTATTTAGATGATTGGGATGAAGACGAATTGATGGAACACCAAGGAGATTTTGGTGACCAAGGTATATTAAAAACTGTTAATTATCCCATGGAACGAGGTTCGCAGGGATATAGGGAATGCCTCCATCCGTCAATCTGTCCATCCGTCCGGGCAATAATTCAAATAGTGTTGGCTGATTTTGTTCATATTTTGTACACATATACCCTATGGCGGTACAAGTTCTTCTGGAAAGCCGATTTTCAAAATGGCCGCTCATTTATAAATGGCAGCCATTTTAGTGCTGATTTTACAGTAATTTAGGTACAATATGTAAAACTGAAATATCAATATATTTTAATAACAAAGCTAGAAATGTAGATATTGAAGAAGCACATGGCAGCCATCATGAAAAATGGCGGCCTTTACTCGCTATTTTACGATTTTTGCTGTAACACCAAAAGTAGTGGAGCAATTTTGTTCATATTTGATATGTGAATACTATAAGCATGACACACTGTTTAATGACACTTTTGGTAGAAGGCGGCCATTTTGAAAAATGGCCGCCATTTTGACATATACTTACTATAACTCGAAAAGAAGTGAAGCGATTTTGTTCATATTTGGTATGTGAATACTATAAGCATGGCACAGTGTCTAATGACACTTTTGGTAGAAAACGACCATTTTGAAAAATGGTCGCCATTTTAATGTATTTAACTATAACTCGAAAAGTAGTGGAGCCATTTTCTAAATATTTGGTATGCAAATACTATAGTAACTAAGCATGCCACATTGTCTAATGACACTTTTGGTAGAAGCTTGCCATTTTGAAAAATGACTGCCATTTTTGCTCTCGTATACTTTGTTTGTAAAAATGCCAGCCATGGCTGTTCGATGGGATTTGCTACACTTTGGCGTTGCTGTTGTCTAGTTATCAATGACTTAGCCTTGAAGAAAAAAAGGGACAAAGCGAAAAATACTTCCAAACCTTGCCTTACTTGCCTGTCAATAGAAGATCTCGATGATAATCATATCATTATGTCTGAGATTGTTCACGATTGATTCAAAAATTAATGATTTAAGATTAAAATCTATAAAAGTTATACAATTAATTTAAAACTCATCATTGCTACAGGAATATTTCCTCAATATTTCTCAAAGGAAGTTAAAAAGACGAAGAGGCAAGCGTCTCATCTGCCTCATCCTGGCTTTGCTAGAGATTATACAACTGGTACTTGTATTTCAGATAATGAACAGTATGAAGATAACATTGATGATATATATGATGACCCACTGGATGCAGAGAGATGGGAACTTTCATGAGGCTATATTGGAAATACACCCTCTTCCTGTAAAGTTTATCTGTAGGCAGCATAAGCATGTACTGGTCAATAAGATAATGTCCATATGACGTCCAGTGCATTGCACTTAAAATCATGCAAACGCAAAAGCTTGGAATAGAAACACTTTGTAATGAATGAAAAAGGTTGGATGGTCTATCTTTCAGTGACAGTAGAATACACACTGGAACACCTTTGCAACGATAAAATCAGATACCATTGTCACAAATAGGGGATGTAACTAATCTAGGTGCTCTATTAAACATGCAGTTAATGAAAATCGAATCAAATACATGTACGAACCCGTGGCCGCCATTTGTGACAACGGTTTCTGACTGTACTGTCGTCAGGGTGTTCCTGTTTGAAATAATAACATGTTTTAGAGTGATGAATTTACACAGAAACATATACAATTTGATACATCTGTTTGCATATTTGGTTAGGATATTGTCCACAATAGTAAGCCTTTAGCTTTTCTACTTTGAACAACCCTAATGAGTTATTTAGATTTTTATTTGCTTAATGGACAAATTTTCAGTATAGGTCATGTTAGGGCTCTCTAAAGATAGAGTTTTCAATGTATTTCTTGAAAGACTGATAGCTGAATATTGATAGGAAATACATACGATTATAGTTGGCTATATGTAGAGTATCAATACATGTATTTTTCAAAAGTTTTAATTGAAATACAGCAGTGTAATGTTATTGTATATTTTTGTCTGTTACATTTCCAAACAGTCACAATATAATACGGTTAACATCGTAATGATAGCGTTTATGGTTTTTTACATTGATGCTTATACATACCTGTACTATTTTTATACAGTCATTGAAATAGCACACGTGAGCACATTATTCCCCATGTTTTTATCCCATCGAACGAAGTTCGGAGGGATATAGGGAACGCCTCCGTCCGTCCGTCCGTCCGTACGTACGTCCGTCCGTCCGTACGTACGTCCGTCCGTACGTCCGTCCGTCCGTCTGTCCGGGCAATAACTCAAATACCGTTGGCCCGATTTTGTTCATATTTTGTACACATATACCCTATGGGGGTAGAAGTTCTGCTCGAAAGCCGATTTTCAAAATGTCCGCTCATTTCAAAATGGCGGCCATTTTAGTGCCGAATTTACAGTAATTTAGGTGCAATATGTAAAACTGTAATAGCAATATGTTTTAGATGTAAAAAAATTATATAGGACATTAATAAAGCTTGAAATGTAGATACTAAAGAAGCACATGGCAGCCATCTTGAAAAATGGCGGCCTTTACTCGTTATTTTACGATTTTTGCTGTAACTCAAAAAGTAGTGGAGCGATTTTGTTCGGTTGAAGATCACAGTAGAGTTTCCCATAGGTGGCCATTATAACATTTTACCCTGTATCTTATTAACGATTAGTATCCAAGCCTAGTGCAACATACCACAGTGTTCGGGAGAGACTCGCCTAGCCTGCTATAACAATCTTACCATGGGTTGTCCACCGAATTTTTGAAATAAATAAACTTGAAGACACTAACCCCCTCTATCGTCAGATTTCTCAGAGAATTCTGGTAAAATCACCAAGGTCAAAATCACTCCGCCGCCAGCTTAAAATGAGATTTCCCACTGAACTCTGACATGTTTTCAGATAAATTAGGACCTACCCTATAAATATTTATTCCCGATTCACTTCCCAAACGCTAGATGGCGCTCCAATGGGGTAGGGAAGGAGAAAATGACTTTTTATTCAGAAAACCAAATCACTAACGGTAACCGCTAATGTCCTTACTCAGGACTATATCCTAATAGTAAACTGAATTAGTTTGTTTTCTTCCAACATGGTTATATTAGCATTGTAGGCATTATCCCGATCACAATGGTATATAACAATCCTATATTTGAGAAAAAGCACGGAGGAAAATTCAATCCTTATAGACACAGGTCCTTTTAGCGAAATTCAGGAAATTTGATTTTGAGATTTCTTGAAATTTCTTTGGGGTAGGGGTACACCTTACAGATTGCATCACAGATTGAGTACACCCAACTAAGGTGAACATGGCTATATGGGGTATCATTGGAAAGCGATTTCTACTATCTTTCAAGTGATATCCATGCCAAGGCGTTCAATTGCATCTTATGACGTCATATTGGTAGGAAGAAACAAAGGTTCATTCAAAACTGCCCCGAAAACAATTGAATGGCACGGGAAATGGAATTCGGGGTACTTGGCACAGTGGCCTCGCCCCCAAAACACCAAAATTGCTTCAAAATGTCACGATTTTGGTAGCATTGTTCAGCTAAGATACAGCCCTTTAATATGATATGCGCTATTAGGCTTCTCAATGAACTAAAAAACCTCAAAAAGGGATAAAACCTTCAAAATGCCCCAAAAAGCGCCTTCTAATAGGTTGAAGATCACAGTAGAGTTTCCCATAGGTGGCCATTATAACATTTTACCCTGTATCTTATTAACGATTAGTATCCAAGCCTAGTGCAACATACCACAGTGTTCGGGAGAGACTCGCCTAGCCTGCTATAACAATCTTACCATGGGTTGTCCACCGAATTTTTGAAATAAATAAACTTGAAGACACTAACCCCCTCTATCGTCAGATTTCTCAGAGAATTCTGGTAAAATCACCAAGGTCAAAATCACTCCGCCGCCAGCTTAAAATGAGATTTCCCACTGAACTCTGACATGTTTTCAGATAAATTAGGACCTACCCTATAAATATTTATTCCCGATTCACTTCCCAAACGCTAGATGGCGCTCCAATGGGGTAGGGAAGGAGAAAATGACTTTTTATTCAGAAAACCAAATCACTAACGGTAACCGCTAATGTCCTTACTCAGGACTATATCCTAATAGTAAACTGAATTAGTTTGTTTTCTTCCAACATGGTTATATTAGCATTGTAGGCATTATCCCGATCACAATGGTATATAACAATCCTATATTTGAGAAAAAGCACGGAGGAAAATTCAATCCTTATAGACACAGGTCCTTTTAGCGAAATTCAGGAAATTTGATTTTGAGATTTCTTGAAATTTCTTTGGGGTAGGGGTACACCTTACAGATTGCATCACAGATTGAGTACACCCAACTAAGGTGAACATGGCTATATGGGGTATCATTGGAAAGCGATTTCTACTATCTTTCAAGTGATATCCATGCCAAGGCGTTCAATTGCATCTTATGACGTCATATTGGTAGGAAGAAACAAAGGTTCATTCAAAACTGCCCCGAAAACAATTGAATGGCACGGGAAATGGAATTCGGGGTACTTGGCACAGTGGCCTCGCCCCCAAAACACCAAAATTGCTTCAAAATGTCACGATTTTGGTAGCATTGTTCAGCTAAGATACAGCCCTTTAATATGATATGCGCTATTAGGCTTCTCAATGAACTAAAAAACCTCAAAAAGGGATAAAACCTTCAAAATGCCCCAAAAAGCGCCTTCTAATAGGTTGAAGATCACAGTAGAGTTTCCCATAGGTGGCCATTATAACATTTTACCCTGTATCTTATTAACGATTAGTATCCAAGCCTAGTGCAACATACCACAGTGTTCGGGAGAGACTCGCCTAGCCTACTATAACAATCTTACCATGGGTTGTCCACCGAATTTTTGAAATAAATAAACTTGAAGACACTAACCCCCTCTATCGTCAGATTTCTCAGAGAATTCTGGTAAAATCACCAAGGTCAAAATCACTCCGCCGCCAGCTTAAAATGAGATTTCCCACTGAACTCTGACATGTTTTCAGATAAATTAGGACCTACCCTATAAATATTTATTCCCGATTCACTTCCCAAACGCTAGATGGCGCTCCAATGGGGTAGGGAAGGAGAAAATGACTTTTTATTCAGAAAACCAAATCACTAACGGTAACCGCTAATGTCCTTACTCAGGACTATATCCTAATAGTAAACTGAATTAGTTTGTTTTCTTCCAACATGGTTATATTAGCATTGTAGGCATTATCCCGATCACAATGGTATATAACAATCCTATATTTGAGAAAAAGCACGGAGGAAAATTCAATCCTTATAGACACAGGTCCTTTTAGCGAAATTCAGGAAATTTGATTTTGAGATTTCTTGAAATTTCTTTGGGGTAGGGGTACACCTTACAGATTGCATCACAGATTGAGTACACCCAACTAAGGTGAACATGGCTATATGGGGTATCATTGGAAAGCGATTTCTACTATCTTTCAAGTGATATCCATGCCAAGGCGTTCAATTGCATCTTATGACGTCATATTGGTAGGAAGAAACAAAGGTTCATTCAAAACTGCCCCGAAAACAATTGAATGGCACGGGAAATGGAATTCGGGGTACTTGGCACAGTGGCCTCGCCCCCAAAACACCAAAATTGCTTCAAAATGTCACGATTTTGGTAGCATTGTTCAGCTAAGATACAGCCCTTTAATATGATATGCGCTATTAGGCTTCTCAATGAACTAAAAAACCTCAAAAAGGGATAAAACCTTCAAAATGCCCCAAAAAGCGCCTTCTAATAGGTTGAAGATCACAGTAGAGTTTCCCATAGGTGGCCATTATAACATTTTACCCTGTATCTTATTAACGATTAGTATCCAAGCCTAGTGCAACATACCACAGTGTTCGGGAGAGACTCGCCTAGCCTGCTATAACAATCTTACCATGGGTTGTCCACCGAATTTTTGAAATAAATAAACTTGAAGACACTAACCCCCTCTATCGTCAGATTTCTCAGAGAATTCTGGTAAAATCACCAAGGTCAAAATCACTCCGCCGCCAGCTTAAAATGAGATTTCCCACTGAACTCTGACATGTTTTCAGATAAATTAGGACCTACCCTATAAATATTTATTCCCGATTCACTTCCCAAACGCTAGATGGCGCTCCAATGGGGTAGGGAAGGAGAAAATGACTTTTTATTCAGAAAACCAAATCACTAACGGTAACCGCTAATGTCCTTACTCAGGACTATATCCTAATAGTAAACTGAATTAGTTTGTTTTCTTCCAACATGGTTATATTAGCATTGTAGGCATTATCCCGATCACAATGGTATATAACAATCCTATA